CCCAAACCTCCCCTCCCCGAACCTCCCCTCCCCAAACCTCCCCTCCCTGAACCTCTCCTCTCCTCTCTTTTTTTTTCCTCTCTAAAGGATACATTACTGTGCTGGACAGGTGGGTGTGCTGTGCTTACAAACTCTATGTTGTTTAATAAGAATTTAAAATGCACAGCCTCAAGAATTCAAAGGCTGTGAAGAACCTCTGTTGGCCTTCACAATTTTCTAGGTAAAGAAGTAGGAGTTGTAGAGAAAAATCCGTATGTTTTCCATGTTGTAGTACATTTAGCTGACATGCTAATAATGTTTAGCCATGTTTTTTAGAGCCTGTGAAAGCACCTTTAGGAAATATAGAAATAGAGAACACATAAAGCACAGGCAGATATAGCAAATCTAATGAGGGCTCCTCATCTATGCGATGGCAGTTTCACACAAATTGCAATGGCTCTTTTTATCCAGGGATCCACAAAGCTCCTGCAGGGAGACAGCTCCATCCAACAGACAGGATCCTCTGAATGGAAGTGTGGCCAGGGTATAGGCTGGTCTCTTTTTTGCCTGGGCTGGGCAAAATGGAGGGGGAAAGGGGCTCATAGAAGATAGCCTTGCTCTGCACTCTAAAACATTCCACTGCTCAGCCATGGCCCTGGGCAGCAAGTTCCCCTTGTGGTACCCTAGGACAGGACTCCAACACCTCTTAGACAAGTATCTCCCTGTCTCCTCTGCCAAACAGGGGACCACATCTCAGGCTATAGAAACTTATGAGTAGGACAGGTCTGCTTATGGTTAAGAAATGGTAAATTTGCAAAGTGGGTTGGGAACACTGCTGACATTTATATCAGTGTTTGAAATCAAGTGTCACTGTATCTCTCCAGGACTGATTTAGGGTGTTGGAAAATCAGAATCTCATCTGGAAGCTATGATGTCTTCATAATCTCTTAGTATCTCATATTGCCATTAGACTGAAGTGTATCAACCTGCTTTCTGGAATAATGTTACTGTTTTGTTTGAGATATCAGTATCATTACTTATAAAAAAGTTTGTGATTTAAGTATCAAAATAGCTAAACGTAGAAAAAAATCAATGTATCCCCTAAAAAGCAGGGCTGAAATTTAGGAGACAGTGCATATCTCTGCGGTGAAGAAAGCCCAGGAGTGTAAATTCCAATCACGATGTTCAGGACATTTCCCACACTAATTCTGCACAAACAATTCTCATACTTGACAGCCTTATACCATTGTTTTCATGTACATTAGCCTCAGAAAACAAAACAAAACAAGAAAATATAGCCATAAACTCTGCAGCTTACCAGAACATAAGTTTCCCTGGTGATACGGGCAGGAAAAGTCATCCATTTCACAGTACTTGCCATACACCTTGCCTAGCTTGTTTTTGTAGCAGAAACATTTTCCATCTATGCAATTTCCTTGACCACTGCAGATAGGTTGGTCCTGGTGTTGCCTGCACCTCTCTGAAGGAAGCGTGTCTTCTCTCTTAGAGCTGCAGTTATTGTCACTGCAATGGGACTGTTTGCTATCAGAAGTTTCATCAGCCCATACTCTTTTGTGGTTTGTACTGTCTCCATATTGGCAGGCACAGCTTCGCTGCACATTAACAATAGCGGTTTCATTGAAACCAATAGGTTTAAGTATGGCATATTTTCTGCCTCCAGTTGTATGACATCCTTTCATTGTAACCGATACATTGAAAAGTACCTAAGAAGAAATAAAGACAGATTTTATATTTTTATTATTTCCTTGTTTAAGTTTGCTTTAAGTTTTTAACACATAAATAAAGCAGAATCTCAGATTGTATATGAATGTGCACTAGTTAATAATAGCAAAATACACACTGGTCATTTGTCAAAAATGATATTTTAGTAATGGGAGGCATCACAAATACAGTCAAAATCCTAACAATAGAAGATTGACAGCAGTCTACTTTTCAAATTAAGATAGCATAATTGCAAAAGACAAGTTTAATACAAGTTCAATGGACACAGAATCACCATCATCATCCTCCTGCTATTATTTAATGTGTAAATTCTGTTATATCATACTCTAATGAGAATTGGAACTAGACTGAGCAAGACAACAAACAAACAAAAACAGAGATACCCTTCATAAAAAAAATCTATAATGAAAGTTTTTCTACTGAAATGGTCATGCAGAGAGAAACCACACAGGTTTTTTTGGATGGCCCTATCTGCTCCTACTAAAACACAGAAAATGTCTCACACCCTAGCACCAAATTACTTTTTGCAGTTCCTACAATGGCGATGGAGAAAGAGAGTCTTCCTGCTATTGCTGTGGTCCTGGGCAGATCAAGTTCTGCTTCAGAGTGGACCCAGTGCCTAGCTCTGGGTCATGGCTATCACCACCATGCTCCAGGTCCTCATCCCAGCAGTGCCCACTGCAGCAGCAGCTCCCATGGCTTTCCAGAATCCTGGCATAGGACCCCAGATCATTTTGGTGGTCAGATGATTGCCACAGAGTTTGCATCAAACACCACCAAAACTCGTTGACAGTTCTGACATATGTGATACTTTCACTGGATACCAATCTTCTATTCACAATTGTTTTTTGGTTTTTGACCAGTAGGCCTCTGAAATGGTATTCTCTCTCAGGTTATAAATTTGTTCAGCCTATTGATGGAAAAAAACTTTCCTGCCTTGTCACAGAGAAAATATAATCAAGAAGAAGAGGTAAGAAAGTAACCCAAGAGAAGCAAATATCTCTACTCTTCACCACCAAAAATTTTCAAACAAAAAAAAGAGAAACCCTGAGAAACTGATTACATATGAGGTTGAAACTACCCGCAAAGACTAAGGCCATTCATCTCTCGTCACTGTCTCTCCCTCCCGCTGCGCCCCCACACGAGAACAGCCGAGCCCTTGAGGACAATGGCGGCTTTGTGGTGAGCGGGGCTGTGGCTGCCTACACGGACAACAGGAGAAGAATGCTGTGCAGAAGCATGCACTTAATGTCATATCGAGGGGGCACACAGGCTTTATCTCACCCTTTGCTTTTCTTCTTGTTTCTCAAATGCACCACTACACACATATCCCCCCTCAGTTGCCTACGCTCTCCATTCATGGGATTTCTTCCCTTCGGTTACAGGACAAAAGTGTGGCTATGGAGAAAATGATTCATACAGCAGGTGCGTGTCACACAGGGAGGACAGGATGCAGCTAGGGAATGTTTTTTATTCAACACAGCGCTGTGCTAGAAAACATCATCTTCATGTTCAACACAGTACTGGAGGAATGGCAGGGAGATGGGAGGGAAGGGCAAATCCTGTCTTGCATATTAGTAGTGAAATATGACGAGTCTGAACAGAGCACTAGAAAGATTATACCTGTTGAGACTAAATAATTACAACATCATGAACACTGACACTCACTAATAGCCAAGGTTAGTTTTGCACCCCAAAGGGGCCACGTGATTATTCCAGAATATAATACACTTTGTGTTTTGGTAAGAAAGTGAAGGAAGAAGGATTAGACAATGAAAGGAATGTGAGAATTAAGGAAAAGCATTTTGCTTGTAAACAAATACTGAAAGAAGGATTTATGGTAAAAATAAATTAATCTCTTAAGGATGGTTCATTTTCAATAGCAGTAGAGGTTTAGGACCACATGCAATCTTTTACAATCAACTGACTTGGCTTTTTATTAAAAAGAAACAGATATAAATATTTTTCTTTTCATTAAACAGAACAAATTCCAGTCCTATTTCTTATGACATGCACAGGGAACAACACTGGAGAAGAGATGAGTTAAGCAGAAAAACATAATCTGCCCATAAACTGTAGAAGCTAATCAGCAGCATGCAGACAAAATTCAGAAGAGTATAAAATACATTAAAATATACATTACAATTCACACATTTCAGCTACTGAATTGGTTTTCTATTTCTACACACAGACATAAGTACAATCACACCAGCTGAGACATATGTACATGTCAAGCAGGAAAGAACTCCTTGACCCTGCCCTCCAGAAAACAGAGACCTTTTCCTGGCAAGCTAAAGGAATTACTCCAGTGGTCCAAGCAATTAAATAAATATGTCGAGGCACAGAGAAGTTTTTCTGGGAAGAAAACCATGTTCTTTACATTAGCCAGACATCTTCCCCTGCATTTTCATGGTGCATGATGCTCCGTTTCACTCAGTAGGTGGCACCAATCCAAAAGGGAATAAAAATTTTATTAATTTGATTTATAAAATAAACTAATTATCCACAACCCTGATCGTGCATGAAGACTACTAAAACAAGAAGAGAGAAAGCTTGTGTCTAGTAAAGACCCAAGGAACACAAATTCCAGTGATTCTTTTTCACCGGGTGATTATCTTTCAACCTCTTTACGTACAGATTTCACCACAATGACCATGGTTGGTTGTGCCCAGTGGAGGACAAAGAAGGAGAGTTTTAATGGACGTTAGCTTTCAGGAAAAGCTTTGAGCCTTAGTTCCATGGGATTAGTGAGAATTAAAATAAGATTCAGGACAAATAAATCCAGAGAATAATAGAGAGTCTGTGATCATTAATCACATAAATCCATTTTCAGTTTAAGTAAATCCCTAGAAGATTTCACACCATTGAAACCCAACCAAACAGAAAAATAAGTATTCCAGTTCCTTGAAGAATGAAAACTATCAACATACTTCTTTATTATATCCCACATTTTTACATCCTTCCATGGCTGTTTTTTCACTTCCATCAGGACAGATTGCAGTGATATTGAAATTAAGACCTTGGATTTGGTTATCCACTTGAAGTTTCACTTCAGAGATTAGTTTCTGTAACCAGAAAACAAGTTTTAGTCACATTGCATCTCAAAATATAATGTACATTAGTGACTACCACCAAGTATGGCTACTATGTCTGACTAAAAATGAAGAAAGCTTGTCTGTGTGAATAAAGGAATGAATTAAAGCATTGTTTCCTGTATAAAGACCCGATTACATACCAAATATACACAACCAGTGAACTGGCAATTCTGATAAAGAGGATTAGGTTTTGCAGATAAAATGTTTTCAGCTTTTCTAAAATGGTTTTACGACTGTATTTTTCTCAATTTGAAAATCTATTCTAACAACTGTGTGCAACAAAAACTGCTTGTTGTGTGAGTCTACACTGACTTTTAGCCATACATCTAAAATGCAACTGTAAACATACATACAACTATTGTTACCTAACAGAAGAGGTTCCTAATTGACGCGACACGACTTTATAAACTTCTGATATTTTGCATCTGTCTTGGAAAAGCTTTCTCTGAACAAACCTTACAGTGATCTAAAGGCTACTGGGATTATTCTTACTGATTTATTTGGGTCAGCTAAGACCACATAAGTCAACAACTGGGTGATTCCCATTAGGGCATTTTGCAACAAAAAATAATGAAAAAGCCACCTACTTTGTATCTTGCATTTACTACATGCTCTAAAATCCTGCTTCCTTCCAAGAAGGAGTATTGCTTCTTGACCTTTTAAAAATTTATTACAGCTCTTACAAACTTATGAGCTGAAAATTGCACAAAGAGATATTTTAAATTTGTGGCACATTACTCTTAAAAAATTAGTTTATGTGATATTTTTACTGCTATAAATGGAAATGTAATTACATTAATCTGAACATGTTTATCTTAGTAACTTTTTGAAAATTAGTGACTCATCTTTGGCCTTATAGCCAGGGATTTTCAGCAAGGGTTTTCCATAACTAAGCCTAATGTTTCCCTGCCTAGAAAAAGAGTACAGGAGGCCCACTGCCATCGAATATGCACACTAAATTTATTTTCTTATCTAAGTCCTTTTTCTTTCAAAAAAGCAATACATTCAAGTCCTATTCACCATGTGTTTGTATATTACAAGTCCCTAAAACTATGATATAATTCTCAGACTGTCAAATACAATGAAGTTTAGGATGGGAAGGAAGACACTGTCTAAAAAATGAAAGTAAGGCAAGAGCAAACTGGGAGTGGCTTAACCAGGAAAGTCCCACTGAAGTCCTATTGAACTAAATCTCTATTTTGTAAATTTCTATTTCCTCTCCTTGAATGTTTGCTTTGCACCGAGTAAGAACCGTGTTACAATTTAGGATGGACAGTGTAAAAGTGCCATACAGAAGCACTAAAATCTTCAGATTTTTTTGCCAGCAACTTCCTGCAAACCTCCATATTTAACATGAGATTTCTCGACCTTATAAGAGGAAGCACAATATCAGTGACAACATCTCGGCTATTTGATTCCACCTAATCTCCTCTGCTTTTGAAGGTCTTTGCCTTCTGCCTTTCCAGCATGACAGTGAGAAAAACGTGTGCAAAAGCACTCTGTTGACTAGGAACAGACATGGGGGCTGGCTCTTCATTATAACCCATTTGCTGAAAGCAAACTGCCTGATTTTAATGATTTACTGAGTAAAATGGATAATTTCAGCCTTCCAAATTCAACTAATTAAAAAAAAAAAGTGACATGAGGATACACTGCATATAGTTTTGCAGCTGAGTTTTCAACTTTTTGAATCTGCATGTTTGTGCAACTGCACTATTTAACAGCATTCAACCACCTAAACCATCATGATGATCATTTTGATTTTGCTCTGTGGGCTCCCTGTGCTCTAGTACATCAAATGTATAGTACTTGGCATCATTTTCAAAGCTGTTTATGCCTCCTCTTTCCTTCACTATCAAGATGCCTATTTCTTCTTTCAAACTGCCATTCTCTGTCAACCATTTGTGGAAAATGACTTCATGCTCTTTCCCATACTATTACTTTCTCTTTCCCAAATAATTATTTTCAATTGAGTACTCCAGGCAAGTTCACAAAGCAATTTCCATTGTTCTCTCTCAAATCCCTATCAAAACCCTTCTTCAATGCCATGCCTTAAAATGCCAAGTCATTACACTGTTTTGTGCAGTGTAAATATTGCTTTTCACAATATCCACTGTTGCCAAAATACCTTCTCATAAATTCCCATCTGCTGTCTGCTTTTTAAAGATTATTCTGCAAAACCCTCCAGATATTGCACTGTGGTTTTGCTCTGAATTTATATGGTGCCTAGACAGTGGTGTCTGGTCTGTAACTGAAGATCTGAGGTGCCAAAATTCAAATAAATCATACATTTCTTTTGAAGTTACATAGCAACAGGTGTAGAGAATCAAACAGAATATTTATAAGCATCCTTAGAAAGAAAAAAGCACTAGCTCTTGGCTTTGAGACTTCAACAGCTGGGGAATTTGAGAGCTATCGTGAGATAATGCCACCTATCAACTTGGACACTAAGAAAAGTAGGGAATGTATCCTCGTGGACTTTGGGTGGAAGCCAAGAGCCTGGAAATTGCAGATTCAGGCTATGAAAGGTGAAAAATGTCTGTACAAATATGGCATACACCATCGTCACTGTCGTCATACCTGATAGGCTTCTACCACCAAGTCATTGAGATTTGCTGCTTGTGATTCTATTTGTCTTGCAACAGTACCAGGCAACAGAGGTAACAGATCCTATGAAAAATACAATCATTTATGCATGGTTTTAATTTTTAGTATAAATATTGTGCTTTCAAAATTAGAAAAAGAAATCAGGTTTCTAACCTACTTTATACCAATGAAACTGGCTTCCTTGAACTGCAAAAATAACATTGATGTTATTGTCAATCAATTTTTCAGAGAGCTGCCCAAGAGACGGATGCTCCTGCAACATACAAGAGAAAAGAGAAGACTGCATATTAGTAGGGGAAAACCTTATATTTCACATATGACACATTACAGGGTTCCAAAACCACCCCAATCTTAACTCCTAAATGTACAGAGAAATGCTAGACCTACATTCAAAACAAGGTGGTCCCATCCAAATAAACAATAAAAAAAAATCATCAGGGCATCAGCCACGCTTATCTGTCACCAACTATGCAGGTCTGCTGCATAGTGGGAGGACTAACTTACACAGTATTATTTTGTTAGTTTGAGTCTGATGCTTAAGAAATACAGATTTGATGTTGTCCATGGTCCATCAAGAAGATTAACAAGATTCCTGGGAATGACAGATGGGTTCTCAAGCAAAAGTCAGGGAGAAAATACAACATGAAGGACTGAAATGAGGTGTAGTTTTGGGAACAGCAAGGAGAGTATTTAAAGAAAGTTTCTTTATCAGAACTGGATTTTGGCACCAGAGATCATACACATCAGCTAAATGCAGCCATGGGGTCCGGTTCCAGCGCTGTCAGTATTCCATAGTTAGCTCACTTACAACTGACAGCTCTGTCCTCTGTATGCACAAGACCTGTCTCCAGTCCTCATCATGATGACCTGCTACATTTTCTTAACCACACTTGTGCTTGAAGAAGATTACATGAATTTCACATCTTTCCTCAGTAATGCATTGCTCTGTTTGGTGAAGTACCCATGACAGCATTTCCTGTGCCAGTGATCTGCCCTTCTACACTTTTCATTGAGAGATCTTACATGGATTTGAGAACAAGAGGTGCATTGCATCTCTTCATCCAAGGAGCTCGAAGGTGTCTGTGTGGTCCCAGTGGCCTTTGTACACCTGGATTATGTGACATCTCTCCAGCTCCAGTACTCTAAAACAAACTGTATCTGAAAATCACTGCTTATTAACCATACATAACTGACTAGTTCTCAAAAAGTAAATTTGACACTTAAAATTCATGACTAAACAGAGAGATGTAACTGGGGCCTGTAATTCCCCTTACAGAGATTTCATCTGGACACCTTCACTTATGTCAGTGACTTCAACCTGTTTCCCCCACATACTTCCACTGTCTTTCTCTTCCTGTTATTTTTCACCATCTGCCCCATACTGCCTCTCTCTTGCACAAACACAGTCTGTTTCCCTGCACCATTCTTTTCTCCTTGGATTACCCCTGTTACTCAAGGCACCCTGCAAGTCAACACCTCTCCTAGCAGTAATCTAAATAGCAAGACAGCTGAGAGGAAGTTATGCAAGGGGGCAAAATCCATTTTCCATCATATTGCACCATTATAAAGAGCCTTGTACAGAAAGAACAAAGGAGTTTCTTCCAGCAGTTTGATCTTTGCCGGTGTACATGCCTCTCTCAACTTTTCTACCCATTGGTAAGAGATTATATTCCTTAAAATAACTGATAAAAGGCAGATAACACAGCAAAAAACAGGCCTGCTTAGAGCTGAAGAGTGTGCCGTGCTCACTGGAGAGAGAGCATGTATTCCCACCATGCAGCAGTCGTGAGTGAACTACAGCATCAGTAGCTTTACTGGCATTTTCAGTAGTCTACAGCACAGTCCTAAGCCCTCCTTCCTTCTCCATGACCACAGAGCTCAGTGGTGGGGCCTCCATTGTGCTTCACAACCCTACAGGCCACACGCAAGGGGCTGGCAGATCATGAATACCCACTGGTCCCAGGACACGGGCGAGCGAAGCCACATGTTCTGCAAATACCTCCTGCTGTAAATGTGTGAATGACAGGAACAGTATTGAGGGATCATAGATGGCGGTAAAGTAAGTCAGTCTTCCTGCTTGACACATGACACTAGACCTGTTTGAACTCCAGCAGAGGCCCCTCAACATCTCTGCAGCTAGTAGCAGAATTCTGGAATCACTGGTATCAGAAGCGTCTTTGTAAGCCTTCATGAAGCAAAAACCTATTCAAATGGACCTTACTGAAGTCAAGAGATGACATCCATAGATGTGCAAGAGCTGCGGGGACCAGATCCTCAGATTACCTAGTTTGCCCCCATATACAGCTGAACTTTCATCTACTGATGAGTTCTAACTCACCAGACTGTCCAGCTTGGCAAGTGGGATGTTAAAGTCACACTTTGGATAAGAAAGCAATAGTTTCCTTTTATTAGAGGGGAGTTAAAAAAAAAACCCAAAGCATCAACAGACCCATACTATCTTTTCGATTTTAAGCATGTAAAGAGACGACATAAGGTACCAGAGGTCACTCATGGATCCTCGTTTTATTTGCTGTGAAAACCTTGCTATATTTTATGTACTTTTATCTTATTCTTCCCACTACTGCTCAGATGCATGTACTTTCATTTTAGATCATCTTTCTTGTTTCAATTACATCATTCATTTTATTATTTTAACCTACTGTGTTAAACTGAGAAGATAGCTAATGTAGATGTTAAGTATTTCAGAAAGGGAGTTAACCAAGCACAGATCTAATTAAAATTGAATAGATTTCTTTCCTGTCTTATGCTTTATTTGCTGACCTCTCTGTGACTGCTTAGTAAAAGTTAGAAAGAAACACGCAGAAAAGTGACTAAGTGGAAACATTTCTGATGTAAAGGCTAAGCTTATGGAAATAAATAAAGCACAGTCTTCTAAACTGGCACAAGGAAGAAATAAAAATATGCCAAAATGCTATCTTCTTATCACTACAAAACGCTAAGAATCAAAGCATGAAAATAATGTGATTAGAGAAGTCTCTTTAATTTAGGACAGCCCAACAAAATTGCATTGATAAGGAAAAAAAACCCAAAATATATTTCATATTATGTATTTTCTAAAAGGCTGACAGACTTTCATGATATTTCATTTAAATACCAAATAGTATCCCCCCCCAATTTATTTGTTCATTTGAAGCTTCTGTATGGATATCTATGAATAAAATAATCACATATACTACAGATGAGAAGAAAAGAAAGTAGGAAAACAGTACACCTTCCCTTACAGACACTACTGTGTTACCATATCAAATCTACTCCAGAAAATATGCAGTGCTGAGAAAGAGTTCCACTATAACCCTTTTCTGTTAATCAGTGCATGCCCACATGTGAGCATGCAAAAATTAGCCCATATTGGAAAAAAAAAAGGTTATCAGCCAGAAAATACATGGGCCTAAATGTGCCACTACAGATCAAAACATCTTTCAAGGTCATTTAATTTGGGGGGCTAAAAAAAAAATCATATTTCATAAAATGCATCAATATCAGTAATCATGGAGATTTCTTATTCCACGTGGGATAATAAAATCATGATCTTTCAAACCAGAATCTAGAATATCAGTAAAACACCTTTTTTTTCTGTCAGCCATCAATCTATCACAGCTGCTTAGATAGAGGTTCATTAATTTTGTCTGTATTTTACCCTAGTGAGTTTCTCTAGTTGTAACGGAAATTCATTTCTGAAGTTGGACAGAAAATAAAAATAGTGTGGTTTTTTTTTTCCTCAAACAGATAAGGTCTTTATTACCAAAGGAATGCTGAACATCACAAAAAGATTTGTACCTTTAGCAATTTTTTAATAAGCAGAGCAAAATTCCTCTCATTTATAGCCCAGCAACTAGGAGGAAAAAAAAAAAAGAAAAGCAGAGTATGCTCTGCTCTTGGAAAGGAAAGTTTTGAGATTATTTGCTTTAAGTAGAATAAGGGAAGGGTTTGTTTCTATCCCAAGGACACTGAACAGAATGACTAGAATGAAATAAAAAGTCCTGACATCAGTGAGGGAATATGGACACAAGAATGTCAGATAATCAGAAATCCAAACAACCTTCCCGTTAGCACACGCTCATCTCCCTCCTCCGCTCAGCAAGGTCCCAAACACCCACCAATTCCCAGAAGCCTCCCATATTTCATGATCACACAACATTCAGCGGCCTCTTCCTGCTGCCCCATCATCCTTGTAAACAACAGTTGCTGGGATTAAATTCAGGTCTAGACTCACACATAGCCCTCACTGACTTCACTAGCACATTGCTGGCTGCAGCTGAATGCAGGCTCTATACTTCAATTAAGTGCAGCTAGCACCAAAAAAAAAAGACTGTAGGATGCTCTAATTATACCACAGTTCATATTTCTGCTATCTGGGGAATAAATGGCAATTAAGTAGTGACTCACATTTCTAAAAGAAACAATTAATATTTATTTAGGAAAATAACCAGAGCAATTGAAACCTATAATTCTTAGGCAAAAATTCCTGTCTTCAGTCATTTGCAACTACTTTATACATTATTGAAGAAAATATTTTGAAAGCTAAAAATATTTGTTCAAGGCATATTATTTTGTTACAGCAGATTTGATATAACTTTTTGCACAGGTATGTATTACTCCACATTGGCTTTATACTACATATATATACCTATATATATGTGAAATCTAAATGCATTTAATGCTAGTCCATCATGGTTGAAGTAGCTCATTGCTGTAGTATGTCCCCTGCTTTACCAAACTTTTTCAACCAATACAACTCTGCATCTTCTGACCATAAACCATAAGCACTACCTCTGTGTAACTAGCACAATTGTGCAATTCTTACATATTACCAGCTTCTATTTGTGCAAAATATCACACCAGACATTTCTTACTTATATATAAAATGTGTGTGATTTTTTTGAGATGCTAAGAAAAAAACACACCAAAACCAGTCACATATCCTCCTCCGCTGTACTGTTGTCTCAGACTCCAAAATATTTTATCCCAGACAAAAAGAATGTCAATATATCCAGGTGATCGATTCTTCATTTCAAAACTTGTCTACCTGGAAAAATACTATTCTAATGACTGAAATAAAAGCAATGCTTTAACAGCAGTCTAAAAAACCTCCTTTACACAGTTTTACACTGCTTCCCTTAAGGTAAAATCTATGGCATATACCTTACCATACTTGTAGCTTTGATGTACACATTATCTTTCAAATGACAGTTTCCATCATGAGGAATTACAATTCCTGCTAATTTACTATCAAGGGCCAGATGGGAAGTTTGATCTGTCATCACAAGAAGCAGTCGCTTCGCTTCTTTACGCCATCCAATATGGCTCTAAAAAATAAAAAATAGGCATAAGAAAGCAGTAACTACCTATTTCTAAAATAATCAATAGCAAAATGAAAAATTAATGTGAAAGTCTACTTTCAGATATTACACTGCTTAGCAGCACTGAGTTTAAACCAGGCTATGGGAAACATTTTTTGTGGAAATAGGTATAATGTTCTGCATCTGAAAACTTCCACTGCCAGTCAGAGATCCACTTACCACTTTGTTTTTTCCCACTTATGACTTTCTTTGCTTTTTAAAGAAAGATCTCCCAAAATACATACAAGTTATGCATTATATAGTGGGCGTTGGTAAGAGCTGCCACATTGTGTGGGTTACTATTACATAAAAATGCAAATGTATAGCATTTGTAAAATTCTCTGGGATCCAAGAAAGCATTACAACCAGCAAATTTGCATTCATACATATTGATACTTGGTGCCCTCTCCTATTTTTACTTTGCACTTATTTACTTTATATTCTTACCACTCTATAATTTCCTTTTCCTACATAAATTTCCAGACAGGACATAAGCATATGATTAAAAATCAATAGACTGAAGTTTGAATGCCTCCATGCACCCACAAATTGAGAAATTCCTTATTATGCAGCAAAATACTACATCTGTCCACTGTCTTGAGGGATTAATAGCAAAGCTGCACCCTCAAGTGTGAATTTAATGTCTTTCAGAAATTCAGTGATGTGAAGGATGTAGCAGAGTAAGTGTAAACTGATTTAGCTGCCATATCCATATTTCCAAAACATTTATCTCCCTGCTTATAATCAAACTTCTGAGGTACACATGAAATACTTAATATGCTTTTTCATTATTCCCTCTCTCAATTATTCCATCTTACATTCTTCACTACTTACATTTTTCCTCCCTTTCCTCCTTCCTTTTTCCTCCTTCCTATGACACTATCTCATCTCTACCATTTCCTTTAGCACTTCCAGGTGTCTTCCATCTCACACGAAATGTTTATCTGCCAGCCATGCTTCATGACTTATTCTCTACCTTCCTTTCTTTGCTTTGCAGAGAGAGATTTAGGTCCCTTCTCAGGCTCATTCCCTGCTAGGTCTGAATGGGGATCAAATATTTCATACAAGCAAGGATAACAAGTACAGAGGGGTGTGGTGTCTTTTCCACCTTATGCGCTAGGCATCAGCCTCCCTCAGCCACTCCTAGAGAGCATTCATCTAAAGAAAGGGTATTTTAAATTTAATTTATAAATAGGTTTTATCTTAATTCCAAATTCTCCCCCAGCACTGTAGAAACTTCTTGCTCCTAAGACTCCACCATTTGACTTTGTTACCTTGAGATTTGTTTAGTTTTCAGTAGTCCTGTGAGGAGGAGGGAGTTGGACTCTATCCTTATAGGTCTCTTCTGCCTTGAGACATTCTGTGATTCTGTGACTCCTATCTACATATGTCACAGCAATCAAAATTTTAAAGTAGCTTCATATCCTAACCTGCCACTTCTTGCAACAGGGGATATATTGGGTAAAGCAAGATGGAGCAAGTTATAAAGCTCTATTGTAGGCAAAATGAATGCACATAAACATAATTTATAGTTCATGATGATCATTATGAATTGCACATTGTTCTCATCCATTTTGCTGCACAATCCAGTTAGCAGGAAAGCCTTCCTATTCTCATGAATGTTTCCATTCTATTGTTTTCAGAAGCATACATTATTCTAGAATTCACATGTCATAAGTGTGGAATGTGACCAATAGGAAATACCGGATTTTAAGGAATTTTTTTAAAGCTACACAGTAATTTTTTTAAGCAGCTGGGATCACAGTGTCTATGAGTAGCGGCTCTTATTTACATGCTTTACAGTTCATCAAAATCTGAAAAAAAAATTGGACCAACTATTCATCTTTAGCTTAGCTTGGATTACTTTTTGTCCTTGAGTCATTGTCCTGCTCCAAAAAAAAATGATGTGAAGATGGACAAGATAAAAGAATTGTCCAGACAACACTCCAAGAGATGAGAAAGACACCAAGCCTGTGATTTGAACAGGAGCTGGATTACTTTAGGAGGACCGAACGAGTATCATATAGAGCATTACCAGCCAACTTTCAAAATTGCTATTGCATTACTATGAAATAGAAAAAAACCCAACATCCAAAATGGCTCTCTAGAGCAAACCAAACTCCCTTTATCTAGTATGCTTATAGCTTGGGAACTACTGATGCAGATCTTTTCTGTCCTTTTCTGCATGGGAGAAACTGTGATGAAATTTTATCAATATACAGAAGTTAATTTTTAGCTGTTTTGTATTGTTTTAAAATAAAAAAAATCTTTAAAAGCTGAGATAACATCGAAGTTCTGTTCTTACAGGAAGATATGTAACTGTCCTTCAGTTCTCAAGTAAATTCTTAAGCAGAAGAAATGTCGAATGGTATGTCTTCATTTAGGAACACAAGGAGCACTTTAATAATTTTTGAAACGAATTATGTAATTGAGTGAAATTAATACAAGTATCTGTTCAAGCAAGAAGCAGTTGCTTTCATCCTCCATCCCATGTTGGCTGGTTAAAGCCAGAATTTGAAGATCATTAACAAACACTGAAACATGTTCCCTTATGCGCTCCTTTGTCAGTCTCAATGGGAAATTTATAACTGAACTACTATTTATTTAGTTTTTTGTAAATAAGCTCCTTACCTGGCATACAGCTGCTTGGAGCATTGCATCAAAACCCCCTTCAGGTGTATCAATATTCCCAGAAATTTTTTGTTTATTCACTGCATTTCTGAATTCTGCTATATTGTCAGTCAGGGATAGCACATGAATATAACCGTGAGGAGGCATACAATCTAAATTGTAATCACTGTATAGAAACAAAACAAATCAAAAGTCTAACACATTCTTTATTTTCCATTTGAAAGAGATGAAAATATTGCATCTTCATTAACCCATAAAATCCTGATATTAATGAAGATGTAAATATGCAGTGGATAAGGAATACTTAAAAAAAGAATAACTGCATGTAAGATTAAGTTTAGTGGAAATTAGTTCTAATTTACTACAAAAACATATTTTTTTATTTTATGGAATTTTATGTAATATAACAGTTAATATAGTAACAGTATATATAGAGTGTTTCTGTAGAGAACAAAAAGAAACACAACAAGAGTGATAGTATGATCTCAGGGAGTATATTTTGGAATATCTACAGTGGTCCAGCTTTGCTTTTCATTATCCTGAGAAAGGACTATCACACCACAACATTAAGATCCTTTAATAGCTTCATACACAGGCTATTGGATCAAATTATAATAAAACTGAAGTTCCTACATCCACTAATAGTAAGTAAATTTACATAAAATGAATGTTGATATTAGTAACAGTTATATCATTAAGGAGAAGCGAAACTCCATTTTCAGTAACGTCATAGTTGTAAATGAAACTTTTTCAAATTATGCATAAGGGAGAAAGTATGTCTGATGTAAGTAAGCCAGTGTCACAGTACTCAGACATGTCATTGATCTGGGACCCATTTATGGCAGTGATTTAGGGCACAAGTTGAAGTGCTCATCTGATTCAGAGGTGCTGAGCAGGTTTCAACTCTCTTAACTTCTGCTGCCTACAGTGCAGGGAACCAGTCTGTAACCTGCCCTCCTCCAATTCAATTTGCAGTCAATGAAGCGAAACTGGCATTGTAAGGATTAATACCTCTGGAGATGTCTACTTTTAGGCAAAACGAATCATGACCTTGAAATGCTAATCCATCTCCATCTATAGATGGTCTAGAGGACTGCTTTTACATAAATATTCATATCTATTGAATGACTTCTACTACTAGTACCCAATTCAAAAACCACTGAAATCAAAAAAGGTACTTCAGAGAATTTTGGATCATGTCTTCCCAGGAAGGATAGTAACAAGCAAGAAAGTATGAAGAATTAATATTCACTTTTCCAAGTATTATGGTTTAGACAGCTTTGAATTTGTTGTGAATAATCTTGGACTCCAGGGTGTTTTGGAAGCAATCCCTTACTTTATATGTGTTAAACACAAGGTATATAAGGCATGTCATGAAAAAAGAAATGCAGGCCAGAACATCTTTCTATTTAAAATGAGAGTGCATTGATGTACCAACTGTGGAATTAGATCAAAGGATCACTTTTGTTCATTAAATGAGCTGAAAGTAACCACACCGTGTTAACAAAAGTAGTTTTAAGAAAAGAGTTAATGAATACATGACCATACACCAGAAAGCACATAGGTCAGAAAGCAGGAACCTTTGTGATGAATCTAGGCAACATATATCCAAAATAACCAAAACCACAACAGTAGACTTTAAAATAAAATGCAAAACATATTCAAATATTCCAAAGTAGCATGTTTTTTGGCTTATTTTGCTAAAGAAAACACAGAACATTTTTTCTGATACAGAAACAGTTTTCTCAAATCACTCAACCAGGTATTTCAGAAGTAATCATTGTATAATAATTTTTAGCATTTCCTTAGGAACTTTGTCAAAGAACCATATGTATAAGGAAACAAAGACAGAACTTTAAAAATAAATATGCATAATGTATTTTATGCAATTAAATAACGTCTCAGTGCTACAGTAAATATAAAAAGACTACATACCTGCATTGGTTATGGATTCTACCTGGATGAATGCTAATATAAGGTGACACAGTTTTATCCACATAGGATCCAAATCCAAGTCGAAAATCAAGAGAAATATTTGCCATCTTTTTAGATAAAGCAAATCCAACAGAATTTAACTTTTCTATATTGTTGTGCATGGAGGCTGAGACATCAACTAAATAATAAAGATCCACAGGGTATTTCTCTAGAGGGCGAACTTTTAACATAAAGTTTGCTTCACTTCCTGATTAAAAAAAAAAAAAAAGTTTATTTACTATTTTTGAATGGACATGATTAAAAATAAATTTATGTTTGTAGCAACCTCAGCACAAAGTTGTTTTTGTCAGCAAACAGAAGAACAAACAAACAAGAATCTCTCCCAAGAGTAAATGGAACCTTGAAGAATCATTCAAAAATAAGCCAAAAAGTGGTGTTTTGTAGAACATCTTGTTTTTATTTCTTGCAGGAGCACTGTGTGACTTATTGTAAAAATCTGACTTCTCCCCATTATCTTTTAAATTCATGTTATGCAATCCCTTTGGCATTATACCAAAAAGCAGTTATGGCTCACAAAGAACACAGATCTGCATACAAATTGGGGTCAGTCACTTCAAGGTTGACACTTCAAAGTATGTAAGTGTATCCTGCAAATAGTTTGTCATATGACAGAATCTAAAACTATATGTGAACCATAAAGTCAGCACAGCCTGAAAAACTCATGTAAATAATGTTTCAAGTTTATCACAATATACTTCCAAAGATTTGAGGAGAAAATTCAGTATGACCAAGATATTTTTTAAAAAAAATAGGTTTTAATATAAAAAGAATTCCATCTCTTGGCATATACAAAACAGAACTCTAATTTGAGGATTATAAATGTCTGTCTCTCCTGCAGAACCACATCACATTCTCACACATAATAAAAACATTAATGCTTTGGAAGTTGCTAAAACTAGTCCTCACATTTTTGCTTGTCTAATATTCTGTAATGTCAACAAGAAGAGTGAAGTGACTGGAATATAGGCAGAGTAGGAACAGTAATGCAGACTTCAAATTGGTCATTATTTTATGTCACCTAAAGTGTGAGCTCACTAAAGAAATAGTTTAGGATCTTCTTGTGATGAATGCAGAATCTAATTTCAGTATTATGCTATGAAATATAGCAAAGGATAGGAGGAAGGAATATGTTCTAGAACTATGCAGGTGTTCAATAAAAAACTATCAAAGAGTACATGTAACAAAGATCTGACCCAGATCTTTACAAAGTAATTTCTTCCAATATACAAAGTAATTTCTTTCAATGGTCTTTGAACATAATCCACCTGAAAATGTGAGGCTTTGTCTGTGTCAGGTCTTGAGTGAGGAAAACAATTTTAGTGTGCTGTAACTAATGTATTTAGTCTTTGCCAAAGTAAATTGAATTACTTTTTGTAAATTACTCTTGCAGGTCTCCAGTTTGTACATAGCGAGATACTGAATGCAGCTTTTATTTTTTCCCACAGAAATCCTGAATGTTGGGGATATGCAAACAGTGACAAAACAACCCCAAAGAGTATCAAAACAAAAACATCTTTGTCTGTATGATTATACTGTATCAAATGTCTGTTTTGAGGCAAAACTATAGCTGTATATCTGTGTATTTCCCTGGGGCAGAAAATATGGTCAAGATATCTACATATAAAAAGCTATTCTTCTGGAGTCCTTGGAATTTCAGTCTTCTGCCTCCCTGATGTAAGAATTTCTGCAAAGCATATGGAACCCCAAACTTAGTTTCAATATTCACTTGCAAAAAGGTTAATGAAACCAAATTTTAGAAAGCAACTATTTTTCTATGAATCCACTGTGCCTTTGGAAATAAATGTGATTACAGACAGAGCTAGAGCTAGCTCAGTGTCTGAGACTATTTGTCAGTAAAAAGCAGAGTATCAATCACTTCTTTGGAAGGACAGTGGGGAAAGGCGAGAAAGTGCTGATGTTACTTTGTCAGTTTTATTATTATAAAGATTGAAACCCAGAGTTCCTTTGTGCTTTATACTCATGCAGATCCTTTTTCCCTTTTAGTTGACAGAAAATTATCTTCTTTTATCACTGACAAAATTATCAGTGAAGATCATCAAGATACTTCTGATCACTTAATGTTTTTCTACCAAAGACTTATCCCTCTTAACTATTTTTCTCCAGTTATTGTCTGTAAAAAAAGTTATGATATGAAAGATAACCCTTATATTATCTTCCACTTCTGCTGTTGGCTACAGTTATTTTAGAGAGAGAACATACACCGACTTAACTAGAGTTCAGCTGAGGGCAAATAGAGGTATACTAGAAAATCTCTGATTCACAAAGGAACTTCTATTAGGGCCAAGTGTCTCAAATTCTATAAATTAAATGTTATGCCGTGAATACCAAAGTCTTCTTTTGAAGGACTTTAAGAAGTCCTTTCTTATATAATGGCGGTGGTGTCTCTGTAGTTGTTTAGTCAACGATCTTAAAAGTAACCAAATAATCAAGAAGTTTATCAAATTATGAATTTAGGAATTATAATTCAATTTATTTTCAGTAAGGAGTAGTTTATTCACATGTAAGGGAAAACTGTTTGTGCAAGTGGCTAAAGAAAAAGAATCAAGAAACTAAATCAGAAAACAGAAAAGACTACTAAAATCCCTTCTCCACTTACTGCATTATTCTGACCTTCAGCTACGCTTAAGAGAAACAGTTCTTGCTGAAGACCATACTCGAATATAGGAACAACACCATCACAGTCCTACAATATATTGTTATAGCACCATTCTTCAAAATAACTATTTGTGATGCTTCTTCACAAAACACCTGTACTTGAAAGTATTTTATTTAGTCTAAATTTACTATAATATCAATGTGTTAGAGACGACCCAACCTGGACGCAGCTGGACTGAAACTTTTCCTGGTGTCACTTGTGTATTTGTTTCATGGTCACTGGGTATTGTGACATGAACTGTGGGGTTTTCAACCAAATCTGATCGGCAGCCTCTTTTCATTAAGTTGAAAACAATGTCACAGCGTCCCTTCTGTGTTGTGCCAGCCATGAAATCCTGTTTAATAAGAGACAAAAAGTACTAAACAGTCCGAGCTGAAGAAAACCCTGCAATATCTTCAAAGGAAAGAGAAAAACAAAATAATAGTCTTTGAAACAATAAAATATGCTACTATAATTGCAAAAATTGTAGAACAAGTTCATGAAGCCATATGTTTTTAATAAGGGCAATGATGACATATTTAAATTAAAGTTAAACCTAATTGCCACAATAACTTTTTCCTACAAAAGACAAAACTTTTTAAGAGAAACAGGATCTTGCATAATCAGAACAAGCCGACTTTAGAAAAAAAGGAAACTACATACTGCCTCTAAGTCTCTAAAAAAAGTTCTGTGCCATGTTATGAATTTGTTATAGTTAGAAAGTGTCATTTCCATGACATCAAAACAGGTTAGTTTTCAGAGGAATCCACTGGTAATGTTACTCAGGCTAATATTTATTAGTAGCACCAGAAGCCAGCTTTAGATTTAGCTAACCTGAGTTTGTCTATCACACTACACAAAATCCAAAGACCTGCTGGACTACATCATTTCAATTCCCAGAAAAAGGAAATCGTGTATTACAGGACTGGACAGTTTAAGATGCCACCAATATCAAAAAGCCCTTGTAGCAACAGAAAAGTGATTAGTAGTAGGATGATCTCAGAAGCAGCCCATCCTTTGTTGTATTGACAGGGCAAAGTTGCCAAAATTGTGCCAGAATGGTCCAATACAAAATTCCTTCCTGATCACAAATCTGATGATTAATATGATTCTGACCATGAAAAAAAATATACAAGATCCTTTGTATTCTTTCAAAGTATTGGTCCATCTGAGCCACAGCTGGAGACCAAACAATGGACAATCTCTGATATTTCAGAGGCAAATGGGTAAAATAAACAACCCGAAAATGCCTACAGCCAATTCTATGTAGATAATAAATAGTCATCTAGGCCCTGAAAAGATCAGAATAAGCCCCTGAAGAATGAGATTTGACAGTCATCTATCTTGTTTTTCAAGTTTCAAATGATTTTTGTAGTCTACCTCTGACATATTTTTTCCATAATCTTCTTTATTGTAGAAAACAGAGACTATTTTTTTAGGTTACTGCTATTTATATACCCTTTTGGACATATATATTTCAAAAAAGTAGATTTTTAAATGTGTAAAGAATTTAGCTACTCTCATGGTTATCAGTAATGGCTGATAGATTTGCAGCATTTTCTGAAATCCACTGTGTGTGGGTATAAATTCAACGCATCTCAAGGGTTACTCGGGCCTTATTTTCTCACTAAAAATATTGTTCAGATGAAGCAAGCATGCTAAGCTGAAACTGCTTCTGTAACTTTACTCTGGAATATTTCTATCTGCATTAAGACGGGTTTTGCCATTCCACAACCATGAATGTTGTGTAGGTGAACCAGCTGTCTAAGAGGTTTCGACAAAGCCTTGGCTTTCATGAACAGCTCTCAGGATTGACTTGAGAAGTTATGCAAGAGAAGTGAAGCAGAATTGAAACCTGGTCAAATCTGTGCACCTAGTTAGAAGGAGATCTATTGCGGCTCCATAGCATTGGAAAATTAGCAAATGCTATTCTGTGATAAATGCAGAGCGAGGAGGATAAAACTGAGCCCTTTGTAAGACAGAACATGAGGTCACAATAATGAACCTCTCAACATTGATCCATTGTGCCATCTACACATGCCTTAAGGTTCCTCTTGGAAAACAAGCCCTCATGTCTCCACTTATCCTTGCATTACTTATCCTTATACCTCCTGCAGATTAAGTTAATTGTTCCAAGACACAATATCTCAGATAAAGTTACCTAGTGCCTTATGCCTTACACTCCTTATCTCCTCCAGACACACCCTAGGAACTTATCTACCTTCTGCGCTAACGTGAAAGCTACTACCAATAATTTGCATGTGACCTTAAAGAGCATATGAGCTTGTAATTGTCAGTGATATTCTTCAAAACCTTGCGCCTCTGAAGTACTTAAGATGGTCCAGCCTTATCTGAATCGTGCTATCGAGTGGGGATTTTTTTCTGTCAAACAATATCAGAAATTTCCAACAAGTTTGCAAAGCAATAACAATTTCAGAATAATTCTCGCTACCTAAGATCTATCTTCTGTGCTAAGTCTCAGAACTGATAGTTTCAAGTGTCAAAATAAGAAAAGCATCATTTTTTCCATTTGTGACAGGGTCATAATACACGGTGAAGTCAAAGTAAACTCCACTGTTAGTATGACCTTTTGCTAAATGAAGTAGACATATACGTATAGACTTGTTTTCATATACAGCGAGGACTCACTATAGATTACTGATAAGTAATTTTCCTTTTGAAGCCAAAAACTGTTGAACTGTCAAAGCTACTCTAAGTCTGCCAGAGTTGCCTACAAAGCAGATGGAATGCATTAAACAGTTCTCACTTTATTTAAAATTACTGCAATTTTCCAAATAAAAGATTGCATTTTCTCCTTTGGAAACAAAATGTATTTCACATGATTTCTCAGGTTCTGTCTCTAGGGGTCATTTAGAGATTTTCTTGCTATTTCTCACTATAATTTTCTCAGTTTAAAAGTTTTTATTGTTATAAAGATCAGAAGCAGCTAAAATATAAAGTCAAATGTAAGTAACCAAAATAACATACCTCTTGAGCACACCATCCACACTCAGGGCCCAAAGCAAGACACTTTGTGCATGTTACTGCATTTGAAGTGGCACATCTGTTTTCCGCTGCAATGAAATACAAACCCAAATGTTGGTGATTTATGATGATACGTGAAATTGTAAAATACGTAATTCTAAACCGAGATTTCAAAAAATTACTTCACCAGATTTGGAGTGATGACAATGTATTCAAACAGAAGTAAAACAGAACAAAGACAGCCCGGTAAGGGAATACTCACAGCAATTTTTTTTTATCTATGGTCTAGAACTATATGCACAGATCAAATAAACTACATTCTCAAGGACGAATTTTTAAAATCCTGATTTAGAATAATTCTGAAGTGAAAGTTTATCTTTGGCATGTACCTTACTGATTTACTGCCTAACAGGAAAAAATTTACCAGGTAGCTTATCTTCTCACAGATATTTTCCTTTTAAGTCATTTACACTTGACTGAACCATGCATTATTCACTCCTCATGGAACCCAAAATATTTTCTCACCTTCTATAAATATTACCCTCTGCATTTTCTGGAATGAATAGTTTCCCAGAAGAGGAAGATTTTTTTTTTCCAGAAGCAAATACAAATGCATCCAACATTACATGTGTCACAGATTGAAGACACATCATTCTGCACTAACAACTGCAAAAATTGTGCCTACTTGCATGTCTACTAGGAAAGTCCTTTATATCCTTTTCACATCTTTGTTTTATAGTTCATTGCTCAAGTTACTACTCTTTCCTATGAAACTTTGGCAGTCAGTGTTGAGAAGAAAAGAGTCTTTTCAAGGGATTTGGTCAGCTCAACTTGAATGTCAGCAGTAGTGTATCCTTTCAGCACACTGATCACAAGTCTCCTGTAGACCAGAGCACCTCTAAACAAGGTGGAAGTCACCTGCTAAGAGTTATATATAAGGCACAAAATAGGACCCTTCAGTGCACAGCACAATGTTTAACAACACTGCTTTGTGGCATGCCATATTAGAAAATATACTAGGAACAAAATAAAATTAATTTCTGCATGCAAAATGCTGTTAAGCAGTCCACTGTGATAATATGTGTATAATCGTATCAAAACAGTTTGATGAAAGGTTTGGTTTTCATCCAAAGTTTTGGCTACATGTACTGTCTCTCAGATTGTTTCTTTCCAAACTGCAATAATAATAATAATGTAAATCATCTCTCTTTTTAGAGTAATGAGAGCAACTTCTCACAGGGAAAAGATGTATTAGGAACTAAAATATATCTTTTTTTTTAATCTTTACTTAGTTGATTTCAGCTATGCATTCAAAGATGAGATCCTGTATCACATAAACAGCTAGTCCTCAATACCTCACTTAGAATGACTGCTGATCCAAGGACCTAATCACAGCTTGCAAGTTACTATTATCAACAGCATATATACCATTATCAGTACTAACAAGCCTCATACAGCACAATTGCAGCATTATACTGATAACATATAGGCTAATGACAATTTAAATAATTTCAAAGTTCAGACCTATATTTCTATTTCATATCAACTGCTGCTGACAATTTTTGCCATACAGGCAATGTGAGAAAAAAAATGTAAATGAAAGGGAGAGATGCAGGCATGATGTAAACAGCAAGTTGAAAAGCAGCCTAGGAGGGTGGTGGAACATAGGGAAAACTGATTTAAGGGTGGGAGAGGTGGGTAGAGATAAATAAAAGAGGAGTCGTTAAAGAGAGAGAAAAGAACAAGACAAAATCCAAAAGGTTTTTGTTTGGTTTTTTGGTTATAAAAACAAACACAGTAAGTTTTACTTGGCTGTGAAATGAGAGCAACCTCATTTGCCACTGACACAATAAAACTTCTTTGCATTTATAAGAAGATTGCACTGCACTTTGTGTTCTGCAGTCTGAAAGAGCAGACCTGGAGGCCATAGAAAATGTTACCACATACTGCATGAGAGAAAAAGGATGAAGATTCCAGGTAGGAACTGACATGCACAGGGTTGCAGAGCTTGCCACAGATCCCTTTCTAGACAGTATTAGCAAAATGCAAAGACACAGAACGAAAAGTTGTTGAAGGAATAAAAATAAAAGGATTGTAATTGTTCTCGGCACACAAACATCCCTCCCATCTTCAACTGAATATCAAACTCAGCAGAGATGAAGAACATTACAAGAAAAAGCGAGCAAAGTGACAGATTCAGTAAAAGTGTCAAAGGACAAGATAAAACATAAGTTGTTGACTGGCAGCATAATAGTGGCTAAAGATGATCGCAGGGCAAAACAGGGAGAATATGACATGAATGTTGAAGTTACCCAGTCAACATTCACTGCAATAGACAGAGCTGTTCTGATAAGAATAAATAGTTGGCAGGAAAAAATGAGAGACCTGTGTTTCTTGCTATACAGATAAGAAGTAAGTAAAATTAATTTGTCATCTTTGTAATCAGTAAATCAAAGCCAAAATAATAAGTATGGCCTAATTAACTTCCTGCAAAAATATCTGAGACTCCTTTCTTAAAACATATAATCCTATCTGCAAAACGCACACTTTAAATGCCATTGACCATGTAATAAAACATTACCACGTAACATGCACTTGCTAAAAAAACCACAGCAGTATATATCTATGTGCCATTTTACAAATGCGTTGGAAAACAGACTGAAAAATAACAGTCCTATTTTTTTTCTGTATGGTTAGTTTATTGAATCTATTGAAACTTGATTTAGTTTACTAATACAGCCTGTCTGGTAAAATATAGGGGTGTCTGTGTGCCTTTGTAAACTGCTAAGTGGAAGAAAAGATCTTAAAATCCAGTTTGGGTTTTCAGTGTGATCATGGCAGATGAAATGCTTTAACAAATGAGATATACAGTACTGCTGGATGCAAATCTCTTTGCTGATAACTATCCAGTCTCAAGAGCTCCATTTTCACACCATGAAGTCATGGATTGGCAATTGACAAGCTTGGTACCATTGGCTCAAAAAGTTGGATTTTTTTTAGTAAAGAGAAACTTGAAAAAGTTTTATTAATTTCTTTTTTATTATTCTGGTTACATCACTACTGTGGTTCCCAAGTACGTAGACCCTTATATCAGTAACATTTATGGACATGCTTTCATTCACCAAATATTTATTATTTACTTGTAAGCTTACTCTAAAACCATAACTGATTTAGTATAAACTTCTCAGCTTCCTTTAAAAAACCATGCTAAAGCAAGAAACATTTTTTTATGAGTTGGCTCAAAAAGGAACTGAGATTTTTCCTGCCACTTCACCAAAAACAGAGTCCAGACAGGACTGAGTTACTGCTCAGCCAAAGCTAAGGGCAAGTTTCTACTGGCTTAGTTATAACTGATGTATGCCAAAAGGTATTTTCGACAAGGGCCAAATTCTGTGCTGGGAATTGCACAGGCATATGCATATAAAAAGAAGTGAGTACCTCAGGTTATAATACACTTTTCCAGCCTCCTCCAGAAAAATACAACCGTGCTCCAACGACTGCAACTATTTACAGTGATTACAGGTGTGGCAAGTCTAAACTATCTGGAACAAGAGGGATCAAGGCAAGACAAACATCATTTATGTTATAATCATATCCTGACTCCTTATTATGAAAGTAACTTCATCACAATCAGGGTATTTATCTCAGAGATGGAATAACAATAACGCACACTGCCATTTGAGAGGGGATGTTAAACAGGTTTTCAAACAGTCAGTACTTCGTTCAAGTACAGCCAAGAATTTGGATTTATATCAACTGCACTGTTGGTACACGTTTGTGCTGGTTTTGGAGGGTGTACCATTTGCTTTCTTAAAAAAGAGCCAAAATATAACTAGCAGCTTATACTCCTTGATCATGGTCCTCAGACTGCTGAACGCTTGTTAAAGCAAGAAAACATGAAATTATCTAGCCTCTACAGAGTTGTTTCTCCTTAAATTCTGCATCCAATCTTGTTCTAGGGCAGCAAGAAGCCAGGCTGTCCTTCTCCACAGATAATGAGGCCTTCAGTAGCTCATGTGTAGCATCATCCATGAGGAAAGCTGCAGCTTTTATGCAGTATACTGCAGTTACCTTTCTGTCTTCAAGGAGCAAAGCAACATGACTCCTGCAGAGGGAACAGACAGTGACTGTCCCAGCCTACACACGGCTTCCCAATTCACTTTGGCTGAATGTGCAGGTACAACGAAAAGCATTATAAAAATGCTACAGAAGAGGGATTATTTTTCCATGATTATTGTGTCTGACAGTTACTTGCTCAGATTACAAGGAAAAAATGAGTGCCTGTGCTTAGCTGCCAATCCTAAAGCCTAATCCTGAAATTAGGGATTTTTCTCCCTTTTTTTTTTTTTCCAAACAAGCAATAATTCTCTCTAACCCTTTGCGCCATCCTTTAAAAGCACACTATGTCACCACCAGATTTGCCAAGAAGATTACAAGGTACGTCTAAAAATCAGCTTTAAGGGGTACTCAGCCTTGCCCAGAAAAGGAGATTTCAGCTTGAATACTGTACAGTTATTATGCTTTATAATAAAATCCTAAGATTACTTGAGTAAAAATACCAAACAACTTTTCTTCCCTTTCTTTTTTTTTTTGTTTTATTACATATGGGCTTTGTTAATTAGTTTCACTTCTCTATTAATGGTTGTGCACTTAAGTTTCACTATTCAGATAGAACCTAAGCTGAACACTGATTTGAAAATGTTTTTTTACCAGCAAGAGAAGCAGCAGTAACTAAAACTCTGCATGGAAGAGACACACTTTTGCTAAGCAAATGAAGATACCTAAAAAAGAGGTGTAAAACATGATTGGCACTGTCAAATTCTGAGTACTGAGAAAATACTTCTCTAAACCTGGCAAGTGAGTAAAAGTACCTTTCCATTAAAACAAACAAGTAAAAAAAAAAACTCACAAAAAAAACCCAATTAAGCCAAACAAAAAAATAAACAACAGTTACAGTGTTCCTAAAAAGAAAAATGGAGTATACTGGAAGATATAAACCATAATGTGGTTACAGAGAAGGCAAGAGATAGAAGTGAGATATAAATAAGAAGTATATGCGCACATCTAGATAAATGCAGAGAAAAGAATCACTAGTGAACAAGTCCTGATGACTGAAGAGGCTTCTCATTCCTAACTCTGCCAATACCCGCCCCAATAGTTTTGGGGTTCCCCAATTAACCTGCATTACTTTATGAACACAGTGCCTTGTGAAAATGAGGGTCATTAATGAGAGCTACAAAAATGATTTAGAAAGCCATCAAAATGAAAAATAATGCAAGAATCTGCACCGCATGACAGTTTACATCTTTGCAAAATATGCAGCAAAAAACCCCGAGATCTCTCTTTTCTGCACATTGTGCAAGCTCTGAGTGACACTGGATTTCAGCTGAATAACACAAAGACAAATGGGGAGAAGGAAAAGTGGGAGACCTCTGTCAATACAGCATTAGGACAGCCCTGGCAGAAAATTACAGTTGTAGCTGATGCTGGAGAAAAAAATGTATCATAATTCTGCTCTGTAATGGCACGTCGAGATGGAGGTCCCAAGAAGTATATGGACACTTCTGTAACTAGAGAATGATTACAGACACTAGGCTTTGAGGCCAATTACATGAGGTTCAACAAGCTGAAGTGCTGGGTCCAGCACTTCTGTCACAGCAACCCCACGCAGCACTACAGGCTTGGGGCAGAGTGTCTGGAAAGCTGCTTGGTGGAAGATAACCAAGGGGTGCTGGGCGACAGTCGACTGAACACGATCCAGCAGTGTGTCCAGGTGGCCAAGAAGGCCAATGGCATCTTGTCTTGTATCAGAAATAGTGTGGCCAGCAGGATGAGGGCAGTGACCACCCCCTTGTACTCTGCACTGCTGAGGCCACGCCCTGAATCCTGTGTTCAGTTTTGGGCCCCTCACTACAAGAAAAAAAAAAAATCAGTGCTGGAGCATGTCCAGAGAAGTACAACAAAGCTGGGGAAGGCTTTGGAACACAAGACTTATGAGGAGCGGATGAGGGAGCTGGGGTTGCTTAGCCCGGAGAAAAGGAGGCGGAGGGGGAAACTCACTGCTCTCTACAACCTAATAGAAGGCTGCAGCCAGGTGGAGGTTGGCCTCTTCTCCCAGGTAACAAGCAATAGGATGAGAGGAAATAGCCTCAAGTTGTGCCAGGGGCAGTTTAGATTGGATATCAGGAAAAATTTCTTCACTGAAAGGGTTGTCAAGCCTTGGAACAGGCTTCCCACAGAAGTGGTGGAATCACCATCCCTGGAGGGATTTAAAAGACATGTGCTGCTTAGGGACACGGTTTCATAGTGGACTTGTGCTGTGTTAACAGTTGGACTCAAGGATCTTGAGGGTCTTTTCCAACCTAAATGATTCTATGATTCAAGGAAGTACTCCTGACACACTCTGAGCCTCCACATGTCTTTTTTAGCCTCACCTCTCTGAAAAGTTCCATCACTTATATGAAGGTTGCACATCATTCAAGATGAAAACAGAACCATCCAAAAGGTGCATAGCAACTCAAGTTTTTCATATATATATCTATCAATACACAGAATTTTTTATTATTATTATTTTGTCAGAAAGATGTATATAACAGCATTTTGGAAAAGGTCCTACTACCCAAAGAAGCTACTGGTACAGCAGTTTGGACTCACTAACACAACTTTCAAACCACAGCCTCGAACATGGCCTTGACTGTGAGAGACAGAGCTATTGACTACTTCAGACTGACTTTGTTCCCAAGCCACAACACCGAATGAAAACAAGCAATGTAACCTTGAAATTTTTCACAATACAATTTTTGTTTCTTGGCCAACTTTTCTTGTAGCCTCTCCTTTCTATGAAACTTCCTGCTTTTCCGGGAGATGGTTAAATTTTGTTGATGCGATACATGCCCGCAAACAATGAGTCAAATACTACTTGACTTCTGAAACCAACCTATCCCGTCTCTTATAAACAAAAACATACAGGAAAATTTACTACGATTATACCATTAGAAGAGACTCATTTCCCACAGTCATTTGCTTTTATGGCACAGGTTTGATGGTCCCAATTGCACAGCTTTGCACCAATAAAAATGCAAAGCATATGGAACCAGAGACCCTAAACCTTTTTTTATTAAATCCCTTGATTCCAAGGAAACTTCAAGATAGGCGGTGCTGTGTTAATACTCCTGTTTTCTAGGATGGAACACGGGCATAGAAATCATTGTATTCCAGTCATTTCCAGCTGCTAGAACCTCCCATGGGGTTGGCCAGCTTGGATACAGTCATTCTGCTTGAACAAAGCCTGGAATGGCTACTGCCATGTAGCATTACTAATTTAATTTCTTGTATATTAGTAAGCACTGGTAGCAAGTTGCACATCAACAACCCTGAATGGTCAGTATGTTCCTCTGTATTCTATAAAGCCTTTACCTAATTAGGAGGTCATGATGGATAAAAAGCTAGACACAAATGACTATCTTTTGCCAGCTTAAGTAGTTCAACCTTGAATAAAAGACAAGCTCAAGGTGTTTCTCCCACCATCTTCTATAGCTCCATCTCCTCAAACCAGGCCCTCAACCCCCAATCGCCTCCCTAATCTATCTTTTTATTGTATATCTAATATCACCAAATTGTTGCTTTCTGCCCCACAAGAGCACTACTCACTCTGACACTGTGTCTTCATTCACAAAGCTAGAAGCAGTGCAGAGGATGGGCAACAGCTAAGAATAGTTTAGAGCTATTTCTTCCCATGCAGTATCACCATAGACCACTTGATCCACAGGTTCTTTTTCCATAGCAATGCAAACAGCTCACTTCACTCTCTTTTATCTGCATACACTGTGATTTGAAACAAACTTAACTCTGCATTTCAGACCCTAATTCTCAAAGCTGAAAACCTAATTGAACAAGTCCCTCAATTCTGTACATAAAATGATCAACTGAACTGGGCTTCTACAGAAGATTTTCCTGAAACAAACCAAAAGCCCCAAACCAAAAGTTGTGCACCTGTGTATATTAGGGAGGCATGTCAGGGTTTAAACAAAACACTAAATACATAAAGCACAGTTTATACTCACTATGAGAAAACATCGACAATATTAAATAAAAGTTAAGACTAGTACCAGAGAGGATAAACACCACTCCTTAAAGACTTGTATGTAGTGCACAAGTTTGGGAGGAGCATTTATTCAGGAGGGCCATCTAAAAAAATATTACTGACTTCTAGAATACCAAGTGTTTGGTATTTATTGTTTCAGTAATTTGCTTTTCAATAGGGTTTTCAATCTCCAAACATAGTTATTTGCCCTGAGAAAAATGGAATTTGGTAAAAACTTTCTGGGATTTTCTTCTAAATTAAAAGACTCAAAACCAACCATACCTGTCTAGGAAAAGACACTGGCCAATCTTCCTTTTAGGTTTAGCCTGTTAAATTTTTATAATTTGGGGGTGAAGATTACACAAAACATGACTGAGGCTATAAAATATGCAGACTCACATACTAACTATAACTACTGGTGCATACAGTCCATTTGAATGCAATATTCTGCTTGTGCTCCTTCAAGGAAATATTCACATATGTGTATGGCCTGCAGGTGTAGCTTAAATGCTCTCTAAGGGACAGACTTCAAACCCAGAAATTCAAGGTTTTAAACAGGTAGTGGTTTATTTAATGTTTTGAAGTAATATCAAAACATTTATTACAGCAAAATGCACTCCAACAGTTTTTGTTAGATTGGAAGAGCATGCTTGCTTATGTAATTAGTTTTATCTAGGTAATTTTGTGCCATTTGTACCAGAGGGTAAGTTGTCACAAGTTTTCTAATTTCCTGGTACTCTTGTTTCAGCAAAAAGATGGGAACTTGATTCAGTTTCCAGCAAGCAGCTCCCATCTGAGAGAAGCAAGTTGTCCTCAGCACAGTACTAACCCTTGTCACCCTGCAGAGATAACAGGGAAATAAATTGTACTCTCAAGTACAGTAGAACAAACAGAATTCACTTAGCCTAATTCCACTGAACACCGAGAAGGAACAGAATTTATTTTGGAAAGGGCAGTTAATGGTTTAATCAGACTTGGACTACTTTTGTGATGCCACCATACATCATGCAGCTGTATTCACAACACAGCTACAACAACAGCAAAATACCAAAAATACTTAAGTCTTCAAGATCTGAATCCAGTGAAATACTGCTGCTAACAACTTAACTCCCTAGTCATTAAGCAGAGAAGAAGGCTAAAGAAAAACAAAAATCGAGCATCCAGGAAGATCATTCCACCTGCCTGATGCTACAGAAGTTTCCTCCTCCAATAATCATAGTTAAAATCTTTGTCTCAGTATCTTTTGATGATCATAAATACTTCAGACTCATTATTGTCACCCTGGATAATAGCAGAAGAAGTCACCACAGGCATATGACAATGAAGTCATGGGAAGCAGAGAAACATATAAAGAAAAAAGTCAATTATGAGCTTTGTAAAGTTTTCAATTTAGGCCAATTTAGCCTCAGCTAGAAGTTGGTTTTTTGGCAGCTTTCTAATGCTGTAAATTCCAATAATCTTGAAACACTTACATTTTGCTCAGGGGGTTATTCTTGTTCTGCCACCAGAACAAGGGGGAATCCTGAATGGCTGGCAAGCAGCTTACTTTTCTTCTTGAAGAAAGGTTCCATTACAGTGGACAGTGAACTAATTCATTAGAGCCCCACTTCCTTCCCCAAAGTTAAACTAAATAGCTCAAGTCCATTTCTGTAAACTGCCAAAAGAAAAAAAAACATTTTGATAAAGTTCAAGTGCTTAGAAAGGAATAAGAGACCATATCCTACTTTGTCCATCATAAATCACGCCTATTTAAGCAGATGAGAAAGAATTATTACATCTTTCCACTGGTTAGACAGAAGTCAGCAACTAGTAGGACATACAGGAGCTTTGAAGACAAGATTTTGCTGGAAAGGAGGGTGCAAATAGAACAAGAAACTCTGAGGCCTTAAGAATTTGATATATAAAAAAACCCCTCAACAAACTACAAAAAGTTTATTAACACAAAGGAACTGATATTCCTCTCCAGTTTTTTGTTTTCAGTACCTTCATTATGAGAAGCCAAATTTCTACCAAGACATCTGGATTACAGTTACAGTAAAAGCACAGGATAGTTCACATACATAAGTCTTGAAAACACAATGTACTATTTTAGTGTCATTAATGTATTTTAAGAACACTGAGCAAACTTTAAAGCTCAGGACACCAAGCTATTCCACTTGTCCTTCTTACCCAGACAGAACTCATTAAATCCCAACCACTGCCTGAGATACACCTCTCCTGATCTAAAAAATTATTGTTTTCTATATGCAGTTTTTAAAAAGTACATTGGTGAAAAAAAATCATGTAAGTAACATAAATTTGATTTGTACAATAAAGCTAATGCTTCTTACCTCAGACCTGTTCATAAAATCATAGAACAGAATTATAATGTCATCTAGGTTGGAAAGGACCTCTAAGATCATGGAGTCCAGCCCTTAACCCAGTACTGCCAAGTCCACCACTAATCCTCTAAATTGATACACATACATGAAAAACTTGAGTTGCTATGCACCTTTTGGATGATTCTGTTCTCCAAGTTTTCATCTTGAATGATGTGCAACCTTCATGGAACTTTTCAGAGAGGTGAGGCTAAAAAAGACATGTGGAGGCTCAGAGTGTGTCAGGAGTACTTCCTTGAATCATAGAATCATTTAGGTTGGAAAAGACCCTCAAGATCCTTGAGTCCAACTGTTAACACAGCACAAGTCCACTATGAAACCGTGTCCCTAAGCAGCACATGTCTTTTAAATCCCTCCAGGGATGGTGATTCCACCACTTCTGTGGGAAGCCTGTTCCAAGGCTTGACAACCCTTTCAGTGAAGAAATTTTTCCTGATATCCAATCTAAATCTTCCCTGGCACAACTTGAGGCTATTTCTTCTCATGCTATTGCTTGTTACTTGGAAGAAGAGACCCAGAAAGAAGCGATATCCCTAGTTTCCAACCAAGAAATGATGATGATGACTTTCTGAAGAAGTCTTGATAAATATCGGCAGCCTATGTCAACTTACACAATTTGGAAATTAAATATCTTATGTATCTTTTCTCATACCTCCTACTGTAGATTAGTAACTAACACAAATTGTCCCAAATTCAAGACACAACATATACAAGTCATCACGAGTTCTTCATAGGCACCTGAAAAATTTATCAGCATTTATGCATGCTGTAAAGTATAAGGGAGAATATAATCTGATGTTGTAATGTCCTCTTGTTGAACATACAACCAGATGTGGGTCATGCGGTGAAGATTTTCTTGAGCTTCCAGAAAATCATATTTTGACATCTTTCTGATGCTCTGAGGAGGTAAATTAGATTGTACTTTAATGGAAAATCAAATTTGTTAATTCAGGCCTCTTGACTAATGGGGTGTAATTCTTTCTTTCTCAGTTGTTGCAGTTCCATTCCTTGAAAGCATAACAGCCAGAAAAAAAGCAACTGGCTCTTCCAACTACACAGAGTATTCCTTCTGCATGCAATCTTCAGGCTGCCTTGACAATTCCCCTTAGCAAAAGCACATCTGAAATGACATAAAGGCAACCCTCCCAGAACATCAAGAATATGGTTATCACTCTTCTAGTTGGTAAGCTGCCCATCTCCTCTTTTTTCCCAGTCTTATCCCATCTCAAACATCTGTGGCAGGAAAGCACTGTAAATACTACACAGGCAACCACACCAGTTGCATTCAACTTGTAAAAACCATAAAATAAAAAAAACCTTACCACATAAACCCCCTGAACAGACATGAAATTGCAACAGATTATGAGAAGTGTACAATTTGCAAAGCAAATTTATGCATACCACTGGCATAATACACTCCTTGGGCAATGTGCAGATAAACAAACCTCCCCCTCGCTATTCCTCAGAACTGCAACCTACAGCCTTCCCAAACACCCAGGTTGTTTTTCCCAAAGGCTGGTTCCCAAAGGTTGGCTTTCCCAAAGATGGTCCAGTGCCCCTAGGGAGCAGATCACCCACGCAGACTCAGGAAATTAAAAATGTTTTTTTTTTTTTTCCTTTTCTTCTTGGATTGTTTTAAGCCTTAAGAAAAGCAGAACTGTCTCAGCATTGAGTACCCCATACAACTCAGCTTCTTCCATTGAGCCTCAAAAGAAAATGGGCCAGCACAGAAAAGAAATTAACAGACAAACACCAGTTAAAGCTAACATGATGTATCATTTATTTTGGACTTTTTTTATGTGCATCTTTGTGTGTTCAGGGACATTTCCTGACCACCACTCTTCAAAAACTGTTCTTCCATGAGTGGTTTGAATAGCTTTTCTTGTTCCTTTGAGAAGTAACCCAGTTATGATTTATGAAACTTTCTAACTAGAGGGAACACACATGAGAATCTGATGTGACAAGACTGGAAAAGCACCAAAGACCTGATGAGAAAACATTAATTAATCAAAAGTCATGCTGTTGGCATATATCAATCAACAAGTGACCCTGCCATGATCACAGATCCTCCACTTTCCCCAAACCCCTAATTGGTCTTTCCAAATGACACTCTCAGGAAGACTGAAAATGCCAGCTTTTATGGTTGGTATTTAAATCAGAGACTTGTCAACCATGACTATGTAACAGAATTGTTGTGTGACTATTCTCCAACTCTAAAATCAGGGATAAAGATTTTCATGCTATCCAACCCCTGCTTGCACATCTCAAGTAAACTCTGTTTACTTGAGCTTCATACAGGAATGACTACCTAGATATTTCAGAAAGCATCCAATACCTTAGTTTTCAGATTTTAATATTAATTATAACTGGTTTGGAGACACTGTTGAGATTTGAACCAATGTTCTCTGTTAACCTTGACCAAGCAGTCATTCTTCAGTTTTTAAGCTCCACATATTCCATGTGCTTATACAACAGGTAAAAACTAAGAGTTTTCAACAGGTTAGTTTTTGAAGAAGGCAAGGGCATTGACTGCCTTCACTGAAGTGAGCAATTACTCAACTGGTTAGCACAATGCATACACATGCTCTCGCTGTGGAATCCAGCTTTTATTCAGTTCACTGGTTTACATCTTTAGGTTTTAATGTTCAAAGAGAAATGTGGGACCTGTAGAAACCCCTATGGAACTTGCTCCATTCTTATGTCAGGTATTTGTTATAGTTGGCTTACTGAACTGCAAATTTCCTTTTGGTGAGACTTACTGAACAAGGGACCCTTTGTAGAAGGCGGCAACACTACCCTTTTTATCTGAGCTTACAGAACCTTTAATTTGGGACTTGCAAATTTACAGCACTGTGAGATTTCCTTTTGCGCTCCTTGTAACCTTGGGCCAAATTCTACCTTTACTTATCCCCACGCAGTAACTCACATCTCAAACTGCAGTTTGTAGAACTAATACCTCAGGTAGCGTTAAACTCTCCATTTTTCAACTAGAAGAGCCACAAATGCTCCAACAAGAATGAACAGACTATGAGTTCCATGTACATTTCATATTAATTCCAGTCACTTTTAAAACTGGAGATTCAACACAGATACACAGGTTCTGCCAACTCTGCACATAAATAAACTGAACTTGCTGATGGCACGGGAACAGCTCAGTGCTGTTCTTCATGCCCAGCACTGTCAGTGCAGAAGCAAAGAGGAGTGGCTGCTTCAACAGAGCTGTGTTGCCAAATATCTGTACATGGACTTGCTGCCCAGACTCTCTCCTGGAGCAGCCTGCAGACGTTCAAAGAATCCAGGTGGTGCTGCACTGGCTATCACAACCAAATGTAAAAATCAAACAGCAACAATAACAAAAAATTTCACATGTTCATTCAGAGAAAAACAAAACAAAACACTCTTCTTACTTTAACTGTGGCTCTAGCCTGTAAAGTGATTATGTATGAAGGAAGGAATTCAGTATGACTTTCAGCTTTCATGAATTAGCAGAGGTTTCAAATGAAAAGGAAAAAACAAGGTCTATCTGAGTTACAGTCTGCCCAATCTGAGAGCTGTTGTCACAATAAACACATAACCCATGACGTGTCACCCATGTATATTTTCACTATCAAGCACAACAAAGGCAGCAAGTATCCTTTGGCACAAAAGCCCCATGCACAACCTCCCCCTGTGGCATTCTGTTCTGATGCATTACTTGCCCTAGTGGGTTCCTAGGAGCTACACTCATGAGCAAGCACAACACTGCATTCAGGCACAGAACCATCCTCTCCATAAAGTTTCAATTAGCCTTTCAACTCAATTGCACTGCATAAAAAAGAATCTGGGATACTACATACAAGATGTCATGTTTCATAAGAAATTTAATAATATATTTTATTTTTCCTATTGACATTTAGTTTGGTTTTGAATTCAAAATATGAAGCCAAAAAAGCAAAATAAATTATCCTATGAAAGTTAACAAATTATTCCATTGTTTTTAATAGCACTGGGCAAATCCTACTGAATTAGGCATGAATTTGTCACATATGCAATAAAGAACTTAAGGCTAATACATCGTTTCCATTGTAAATCTTAGTTTTAGAGGTTACATGTTAACATTTTAAATCAACTCCAGGCTTAGAGTTGGAAATGCAATTATTCCACAAGATCAAAAAAACACGGAAAGATGACTGACAACTTGATCTGCTTTTCTGACAACTGTTTGTTAAATAAGACTCTTTATGAAATACTTGACTAACCTGATTGCTCTGTCTGATCAGCTGTTGCTACCTAAGGTACATTTGCACAAACTGCTCTCAGCCTGCATGCATCAAAACTGATGCCCGGGGGTTTGGGAAGCAATTCCACAATGTGAGGGGTTACCCATATTTACCTTTTTCATCATCAGTACCCTGGCTCCCGGGGAACCGTCAGTATACACGTTACCCCAAGGTAAACAGAAGACAATCTTCCCATAGCTGTATCCCTATTTCACCCTGCCACTACATGCCATATAAACGACGTAAGACGGAGTGTTACCATCCCTAAGCATTGTCCATCCGTAGAATCCCCAGGCGGTTCTGTGTGCCACTTCACGGAGACTTGCGGAGGGTGCACTTTCAGGACCCGCAGCACCCCGGAGTGCGATATTCCCGCAGGCTCCCCGGGAGCTGCCACGGCTCCCTAAAGGGTGGACGCCCCAGGATGGACAGTTAAACTACGGGCCGGCGTGAAGTTTGTGCAGGGGCCGGCGGCTCCAGCCCGGCTCTCCCCGCAGGTACGCGCCGCCCGCCGGCCCGGCCCGGCCCAGCGTGTGCCCACGGCGGCGGGCGGCCCCGGCTGTCAGGGCTGTGCCCCCGGGGCAGCCGCCGAGACCGGCCGTGCCCCCCACCCACGCACGGCCCCCGCGCCCGAACCAAGCCCAGCGGCAACCCCAACCAGCCGGGGCACGGCGAGCAGCCCCAGGCGCTCGGACACTTACGGCGCTGGCAGAGTCCCGGCACGGCCGCCAGCAGCCGGGCCGCCCCCAGGAGGGCTCCAGGGCCGCGCTGGCACCTGGGCACGGAGACGATCCCCGCGGTGAGGCAAGCCAGCAGCGGCACCCACATCATGCGCCGCTGCCGGCACCGCTCCCGCTCCCTCTCCTCGGGGCCGTGTCTCGGCGCCGCGGCGCGCTCAGTCCCGGCCCCCGCGGGGGCGGCGGCGGCGGCGGGGCCAGGGGAGGGGCGGCGGCGGGCCCGGCACAGGT